CTTCTGATTTGAAAGGTGCTCTGTCATATCTCACACTATTATTATATGGATGACCTGAGTGTTCAACTCACTCTCACCCAGAAATCAACAATGCTATGTACCTTCAGAGTCATAACCTGGGCCATTAGAAAACTGCGGAAATATTTGCCAAAAATTGCAGGCCATTTGCCAAGTTCTGGAAAATTGCAGAGTGTTGATTGGCGCTATTGAGAAATGCATTTTGTGAAACAACCCATATTAAAATGATGACAATGTAGTTATGTTTAAAATACCAAAAACATACAGCACTTACCAAGAATTTGTCGCAAGAGCTCAGTTTAGGCCGGGCGTGAAGCAAACAGATGGCAGTAATGTCACACGGCTGGTATTTCTATCATGGTTCACTCGCTAGTGGGCGAAGACGATTACCCGCTCGCGCTATTTCCACGATTCCAACAATCACACGCGACCCGAGCTGCTCCACCCACAGTAGCAGCGTCGAGCAAACAGCGCAAGAGGAAAGGGGCACTGAGCGCACGGTGGTGTTACAGGTTTGTAGCGGATTCCGTGGAACAAGTGCAGCTGCACTTCTCGATTGGTCCAGGTCATTGCTTACATTGTTATATTTGGACACATGGAAGTTATTCAACCTTTCCTCCTGGTGGATCTTGGCTACTCGGGAGGCACTGGCACTTGACTGTTCTCACTCGAGTTAGAGTTGAGATAGTGAACTCCGAGGGTGGAAAATAAAGTAAGCTGGGTGTGGCTCTCATTGCTGTTTGTTATCCAGTGATCAATGCTAAGGAATGTATGTATGTGTATATATATATGTAATATATATGTAATATATATGTAATATATATATGTGTATATATACACATATATATGTGTGTGTGTATATATATATATACACATATATATATGTGTGAGTGTCAGCTGAGAAGAGAAATAAGCTGGGAGGTAATAGCCCTTTCACTCGAGCTGTCTGTCAACATTCAATGCCCAGGGAGACCTTGAGTTAGGTTCTAAAGGCCAATCAGTAGCTGTGAAGCTGTGTCCCAGCCCGACAATGTCGGGAGAAAATTAAAAAATAGAAAAGGGAATGATTAGCTTTTACTGTAAGAAGCAACAAAGAGCCATTGGTTGTGAAATTCTAGAATATTTGAATATTATGATTTACTGCCAAAAATGCTCTGGAGGGCCAATTACTAAAGTAATATTAATAGTTTAATCAAATCAATTTCTCTCCTTCTCACAAAGCTACAAATACAGTCAGGAATCACACACACAGCAACACTAACCAGTGAACCTTCTACATTAACAGACTCATTTGCATTTCAATCACTTTTTTAAGCAATGTACAGACTTCAGTATACCCAGATGAATACTACATTCTTTTACAGTTTGTCTAAACATAACGGTTTCAACACTTGAGGTTATGCCACACAGATGTAACTACAAAAATGGCAAGTATCGTGTCAGAGTGAAGAAAACATTATGAAAAAAGTTATGCAAATCACTAAAAAAAATCGCTGCTTCATTTTATCCAAGACTCTCGTCACAGACGACAATGCAGAAGGTCTAAGTTATTTCTAAAAATAACCTCTTCACAATTAAAAGGCATGATTCACTAACCACTTCCTAATAATATCCAAGAAAGCAAAAAAAACATTTTAAACTAGTGGGTCATAGTGAAGAATCAAAACAGACTCAGAGGAAACTAGCCAGAGTACCATCATCTTTTTTCCCACCCTGTCATTAATAAGTCTGGAAGCCAAAGTTTATGTAGAAGGATCATTGTAGCAAATCGGATCCAATGTTAACTTCTTAAAAATATACTGTACCGACTATTAAACAAACAGCGTGGAAATGTGTGGAAATGAGTGATTCTTATTAACAGTCTGCGGGCTAGTAAAATGGAAACTACTACCAGCTACTACTAAATATAAAATACAAAATAGCTAGTAACTATTCTCTGTAATACCCCCTCCATATCGACCAGACTCGCACTCAATCTGGATGGATCATTTCCAAGCCTGTTGCAAATGCAACTTGTTTGCTGATCTATTACTCTGTCCTCCAGCTCTCCAACTGCCACCCGCATCCCCCACTCCTCCACCCCCACCACCCTTCCTCCCCCCCCCACTGCTTGCAATATTCTTTCCCAATCCTACCATAGTCTCACACGTTTGCCATTCTGCAAGGTTACACTCTTCTGTGTGGCTGTTGTTATCGTTTGGAATGACCACCAAACATTTCCAGAGCTGCCCCCAGTGTTATTTTCAATTCAGTTAGGGGAAGCCCTACTCAACCACTGGCAGCAGTTTTATTCACACTCCAACTTGCACAAGTATCAAACTATTTAGTAGGTTGTTGTGACCTTGTTGCGGTGTTATTTTCATGTGCTCTACTCACATTAAACAAACCTCAAACGTAAAAGGAGATTGGAGTCTTATAATTGGAGTCTCAGTGACAGCAGTCATTAAACATATCAACAAAAAATCTACTAAATTTTCTCTCCATTTCCTGTAAGTACAAAAGGTTAGGTCTCGTCAGTTATTAAACATTTGCCAGTTTGAGGTATGGATCACCCCATTCATTAACATAATTACTATCAGCCCATTCCACTGGTATTAATCATCATCACTTCAAATATATTTGCACCTGTGTTGACTTACACTTTACTTACGAGCCTTTGTACAGGTCTGGGATAATTGAAGACAGCATACACTGAAAATAAAGTGCAATTTATCACCATATTTGCCTGTCAACACAACATCACAAATGACCCCATAGAATGCCTATTGTCTGTCTCACCGAGATTGATATCAAAAGGAAAATGACCATCTACTGTTCAACTAAGTCACATTTTCAACAGAATGTTAAAATTATGCAGAGTGAAGTGAAATGTGCATTTATTCACAGACTGGCTGATATATTCAGTCAGACAAAAATCAATGTTATCATACGCCAGCGAGACAGAAATAATGTTACACTGGGCTCTAATACTTGACGATTTTTAACAGGATTCTTTAATTAATAAGGAATCCAAGCGGAGTCTCCACTTGCAGGTCAGAATTTCCTTATTAAAGAATCCCATTAGAATTTGCTGCATATTAAGTTAAACCTCACAATATGATAACACTGTGCTCTCTGCCACTGTAATGTCAAGCCACACCCACAATCAAACCACAGTGATTTGACACACTCTATAATGTGGCACTGAGCCATTCATCACCAGTAAGGTCTCAGGTTGGCTTCTATGTTTTCAGCTAAAATATTGGGGAATTGGGGGCAGGAGGCAAAGAGGAGGAAAGAGGGGTAACCCGCTTGGGGTAGTCGTATCGATCTCAGTGCCTCTAGGCTAGTGATGGGAACACACACCAGGAAACAGATATGTATCATAGTCCAGCAGATTCTGGAAGATTTCTTGTGGATAGAATTGGACTCAAATAAATAATTTGACCCAAAATTAAATAGCAACCACTAAGCAAAATACTAGAGGTATGCTGCATCATCTAGTGCAAATTGTAATGACTTTATATTTCAATAGAGGATGAAATAAGGAAAAGTGAATATTGCTTCTAGAAGAGGGCAATACAACAACAGGGCCCAAAGAGAAATGTTTAACAAACTGAGATGCTCAATGAATTTGATTCTAGTGTTTGCAGCCAGTACAAAAGAGGGAGATACTGCACTGCAAAACTGACAGACAAGTCGCAGGTTTTGCATATTCTAGTCGCCCTCCTTCACTACAGTAAATAAAGATTGCCTCTAAGATTATTGGAATAAACTCAGCATTACTCTTTCAGAGCTGACTCGTTGAGTGGTGTCCTCTTGTTTTTTTGTACACATAAATCAGTGGGTGCGAAGTGCAATTTAGTATGCAAGAGAACTTGCGCAACAATTTGCATGAACACAAATCCAAATATTGACTTGCTACAGAAAAGCTTGTAGTACAACAGGACCAATAAGATAAAGGTGTGCTCAGTTGTGCTGTTGCTGAATCTAATTAAAGCATCCTGAACCTTCGGATTGTGTCCTTAGTGTTTACTCGTCAGAGAAATTGAAGTTGCAATACACAAATCTTTTGAATTAGATACAGTAGTGAGAAAACATCAATAAAGGGTGATTAAGGAGTGTCTCTCTCACTGTAAATTACAAATTCAGCAGTGGAATTTAACAGCAGCTCAGTACTGCCATGCGGTAGTTGTGATAAAGTCAACAGTGCTGTCAGATCTCCATTAATCAAGTGGCAACGTGCAGCTCACTGAAAAACTTCCAAACAGAAATCAGAAACATAAAGTGACCTGGGTCAGACCGTAAGAGGCAAAGGGTCACCAAATTAAGCTGTAAATGTCCTGCTGCATTCTTTGCAACTATAACCCCAATGCCTGATTTAGAGGAAAAACATCAATGTATGAAACACAAAACTATAAATTCTGTGTATGTAGTACGATTCACCACAGAATTTTATTGGCATAAAAAGAACTTATTCAACTTACGTGTGCAGAAACTATCAGTTTGTGAAATCACACTAGTGTATACTTCCCAGCTTATGCCAGAGTCTCTTTTCTGTGAGTAGGAAATCATGGGGAAGCCGGAAAGAAAAGTGCATCCATATTCAACACAAGAGAGAGCTTTCCAAAACAACAGCCTCCACATTACTATATATATGCATTCAGCAACAGTTCAATTTTACAGCTGACACCAGATCTTGAAAGAGCCTATACTGACGCCAATGGTCGTACATACCAATCATATGAAATCACCCAGTTGGCTCACGGAAAGCGGGCTTTGACCCTTAGACCCAGACAACGTTACTCTTTGCTAACATGGCTCATTCAGAACAATTCTGCAGCCTGCATTACCATGTCTTCTTCAATGACAATACTACGTAGTAGTTACGTTTTGATGTTAAATTTGTCTTCTGAGACATGTGGACAACTCTTTAACACAGAGACTTTTAAAAACCTATGAAGCAATTAAAAAAAAGTTTATTAAAAGGGAATGTCCAGTACCTGAATTTGCTCATATTTTTTGCAGCATGGCCATGGTTTCAGCTAAATCCTGCCGTACAGTACGTTGCAGTGCCCGTCAGTATTCTGCTAGGAGACACGGACTTTTATCTTCCAATAAGACAAGTTGACACAAACAAGCAGCTTAGTCCTGTCAATCCTGTCAGCATCGGGGATAGCACACAGTCAAAGGCTTCTCTCAGGCTGCAAGTAATTCAGTTTAAAAGCTCCATTAGTTCCTGGCGCACATCGTTAGTGCCCTTTGCTGCAAACTTCATTTCACTTTCACCAAAGGTTGGGTATTAACTGATTTGCATACTAATGGTAAAGGGAGAACATAATCTGAAACCATTTAACTCTGCATAGTTTCTCCGCAACAGTGCCTCTTGCTTCTTCAACACTGCTGTTGATGAATGAGTGGAAGGCAACAACAGCCCTGACAAACAAGCAGCTTAGAATAAACCTGATGGACTGGTAGAACAGCTTTGCAAACCTGCCATTACTGCAAGAAGCAGTGATACATTATTCTGTTCCACCACTGGTCATTAGGCACTTGTACGTTCACAAAAACATAGTTCCATTTAATTGAAAGGCTTGTGTATGTGTAAGAGGAAGAAGGAGGGACCCAGGCAGAGAGAGGAATTGTTTTAATATTAATATACTTAAGTAATAGATAATGTAAGAATTACGTTCTAAAAAAAAGGAAAGATTTAGGAGTTTCACAGCCTAACAGGTTTCTCTTTTGAGGGAAGGTTTGTTTTTAATCTTTGCCTTGGATCTGCCCATACCTGTCGACTTCAGTTCAACATGAAAGCGATTTAACAAATTCTTTTGTCAATTAGCCCTTGGATCGCTTGATATTCTGCTATGCCAATGACCTCCTGACCCACACCTGACTGGCGTCCAGCAGATGGAGCCAGACCACAATGCTTCTTTGTAACCATGGAAACAAGCCATTCTTGCCCATAAAGGGTAGAGCTGTATTTCGTGGGCTCGGTGAATTTCACAGCTTGCTTGTAACTGCAGGTTATCTCCTTGTGCAAGTCATCATTAAATTTCTGGCAAGTGGCTAACACTACCTTTTTTTCTCCAATTCTAATTATCTAATTACGGGGAAAAAATATTTCATTTGGCAGGATGCAACAAAATCTTAAAATAATTGATGAAATCATGTTTCAGTTTGGTTTAGCAGCACTATTATTCACGTACATTAAGTCTGTCAGTACGTGCACAATAACTGTAAAATTATCAGGTCAATATTTATGTGGTTAGAGCACTCGCTTTGCAAGTGAGAGATCTGGGTTCGATTCCCGGCAGGGCGAAACCTTGGGCAAGTTTCCTTACTCCATAGGCCCAATAATAATCCCTCCAAAAAAACAAAACAATAATAAATTGGTCATTTTGAATCCATGACTGTTTGTGGGACATTGCTGTGCGCAATTGGCTGCCGCGTTCGCCCACAAATATACGCTCAATTCACTTTACAGTGTGTTCTGTGAAGCGCTTTGGGACGTCCTCCCGACGTGAAAAGCGCTATATCAAATGCAAGGATTATTATTATTATGTATATTCTGGAAACTAGTGTATTGCATTACTGTATAACAGTACTAGTCACACTATTTTAAAATTAAGTTACAAGTTATTCTGAGACATTTTATATATTATATATTTAACTCAATACAATAGAAGGATTCGCTGCTTTGTTAATCCTAGGTGACTAATGATAATACTCTGATTCCAAATTTTTAAAGTCTCTAAATTCTCCCCTATTCTGGAGGCAATGATTCTCACTACAATATAGTTCCAATAAATGCCAATCAATTATTCTACATGTATGAGACCAGGCAGTGAGGGTGGAAGGCATTACTGTTGAGCTCACTTCCAGTAAGTGCGTGTTTTTTTAAAAAAAACAAATATGGTGCGTCCAATTTTTTTCTCACTTTCTCCCCATTGACATATGCCCTCTTGCTCCTAGTCTGGCCTCTACTTGCTGCGGTACAGTTCTGGTGCGGTTCCATAAATTCTGTTTCCCCCTCCTCCAAGCATCCATTGCTCACACATGACTATAGGTCATGAGTACAGTCAGGCGACTTGTAGAAGGAGTCAAAGCTATGCCTGACCTCTGCCCACCCAGCTGCCACAAACACACACAACCAACAGAGGGTGCTACAGATCCAACAGGAGCAAAGCACAAACCAAAGCTGGTTTTCCGTGCCTAAACCTGGAAAAGTACGAGCCAATTTGGCCATCCCATGCAAACCGGCCGAGACTAGCAAACTTGGCATGGGCCAGGATTCGAACCTGCAAGCTCCTGATCTGTACGCCACAGCTCTATCCATTACACATCAGGGGTGGCCTGGGAAGAAAAGAAATATGGAGCAAAGAAACGACGGCTGTCCAGATCTTCTCTTCCAGATTAATGCATGCAGTTTGGACCACAGTATAAACCAGAAAACACTGTAGAATCCATTTTAATATTATTTTCATGCGACTCATAGGTCTATTGCCATAAATATTTTCATCACCTATGAGTTACTTAGTTAGATGGACCTATATAAAATATCATATTCACTTGGACCCAGCGTGCATCTCCTTTTGGCGTTATGAATGTTGCATCTTAAATAATGTGAAAGCACACGGTAAACAGCATTTGAGCTGTGGAATTTGAGCTCTCTATGTACTGAATAGGCTATTATAATTCAAGCTTCTGTTCTCAGTTCACAGAAAGCACAGCGGTACCTGCCAATCACACACAGTCTGTCTTTTCCATTTACCATCACACTGCAGCAAGCATTTTGCATTCAAACCATCAAAATCTATCAGATTCGTAAATGTGTTTCCAGCTTATAGTGGAACAGCCATAGGTAATTTGTAACAGCTCACTGAATCCTAAATGTCAATATTGAAGCTGAACAAAAACAGAAACCACACAGAATATTTTGCGATCAAATCCTATGGTTTGAATATTACTTTTGTGAACTGGTTTGAATTTCCCTCATTTTGAGGGATACCTATGCACCTTACTTGAGCTCCAATTTTCATTAGATCGAAAATCTTGAAAATGCTTAAAAATCATGTAGCAGCCAACCTTCCTCATTTGAACATAGCTTTCAATGGGATAACAAACTAAAAGCCTGGGGTTCTTCAAATTATATTTCATTCTTAAAATTCCTTCATGTTGAACACGTATATACAAATACCAGATATTTCTACAAGTAAGATGGAGTTACCTTGATGTTCTTTTACACAGATGGCTCCCACTAATAACACTCCAGAGTAAAGGCCCATATTTCGCACCATTAAGTGGCCTGTGTAATCTCAATCTGACATTCTCTGAAGACGGATCATAGCCTAGCAACAAATCCTTCTGTTTTGGATGGTCTAGTAAATTATTAGTCAAGGTGACTGAGATATATATATATATACATAAAATATAATATATATTATATACATACGCACTATCCTTCCGGTTATCCATAAAGAAAATGGGTAGGAAAAGAAAAATCCTCAACACATTTACAAATGTCTTTTCTTTTGTTTAAAACGTGAAGGCTAAGGATTTTCTCAGCCTATGAAATAAAACTTGCATTCCACTAATGGCTTTATCAGATCTTTTCAGGGACCTTGAATCAGCTCATCTACTACCTGCTGAGCAACTTTATTCATCACATCAATTCAAAAGCTGCTATAGCCAAACACTATGCAACAGGATTTTGGAGTTTTCAAACCCACTTAGCTGTCTCTTTTCTTATGAAGTACAGCATCATGTAGTATAACACTTTCAAAGTACTGCACACTGAAATTCCACTATCTAAAACAATCTCATCTTTTCATGACTTACAGCTGTTTTACAGCAGTTGGCAGAGAATTTCAATCACAACTACCCAAAATGTAATCACTGTAAAGATCCTTTTATGCATGGTCAAAATAAATAAGACAAAACCTTTTCACACAAGTCTTCTAACAAACACACAAGACAAAGCAACTCTAAATTAATCTAAGAAACATATATCCCTTGAATGAAAAATTCCTTCTGGATGAAAGCATCTCCTTACTTCAAGCCTCGACAGAAATGCTTTTAAAATCTTCCCTTCCTCCAGGCTGTCTTGTCAAGTCTGCTTCACTTCTCTCTAAGTGACCATTGTATCAGACTATTTGCAAATTTGATCTCATCTATTGGGGCGGGGGAAAAATCTAATCATGCATTGCTTACCTAACTGGTGTGCCTAAGGCAGAAAGCACCACAGGTGTTTTGAATTGACAAAGGAGCCTTCCCTTTCGAACCTCTTCTCAGCGGCTGTAAAACCAATGCAAAGAAACAGTGGATTAGCAAAATCAATTACTCCAATATTTTCAAATATCTGTTTCACAAAACACATGTCCATTCTTGTTCTCATAGCTTCTTGTTAAATATTAAAAGAAACCCAGACAAGAATCTGAAGTATTAACACTTTGCACTGCTTCAGTATTAAACTGATAAATGATAAAAACAGTACAATAATCAGCCACCGTAAGCCTACAGGTATAGAAGCACAGACATTCACTTCAGGTTTAGCAGTGCTGTGCAAGTAGAAGTATTCAAAACACCAAATCAATACCCTTTCTTCCACTCACAAACACAAAGGAGTTTTCTATGCTGTGAATTTCTTTCCTGCATAAAATAAGCTCTCAATTATAAGCAATGACAGTAGCCTTAACATTGATACTGCATGAAGGCAAGCAAGAAAATAAACTCATTAGTACGGACATTGATTTAATTTCTGTAGAACCATTAAAATGGTTATTGAAAGATATACATTTATAAACAATGCAAATTCAAAATGGATGCGCAGAAATTAAATGGAGTCTGTTTTCACATTTTCTTAAACAACAATTACACATGGACATTATTTTGCCTTAATAATAATAATAATCCTTGCATTTGATATAGCGCTTTTCACGTCGGGAGGACGTCCCAAAGCGCTTCACAGAACACACTGTAAAGTGAATTGACTGTATATTTGTGGGCAAACGCGGCAGCCAATTGCGCACAGCAATGTCCCACAAACAGTCGTAGATTGAAAATGACCAATTTATTATTGTTTATGGTTTTGGAGTGATTATTATTAGGCGTGTGGAGTAAGGAAACTTGCCCAAGGTTTCACCCTGCCTGGAATTGAACTCTGGTCTCTCGCTTGCAAAGCGAGTGCTCTAACCACTGAGCTACAGGACTCCACTTAAGTACGCCTGACTTGTCACATCTCTGCTCTTGGGAGAGTCATGGGCACATGGTCTTCTAGATCAATGGCAATTCCCACTGTGGTTAGGTGGAGTTTGTGAAAGCAACACTGGTTGGTGCTGCTTTGTTTGGGAACTGAATGGGAGCGAGAGACCTCAATTTGATTCCGGCAGGGCGAAATGTTGGGCAACTCCACACACCTCTGTTTATCTTGCAGTAAGAAGGAACCCGGATGTTAGTCGATTGGCAGATCACTTTTCTGGGGATAATAATTCCTTCAAAAATAAATAATAAATTGGTTACTTCAATCCACGACTGCTTGTGGGACACTGCTGTGTGCAATTGGCTGCTGAGTTTCGCCCACAAAATATTTACAATCAATTCATTTTACGGTATATTCTGTAAGCACTTTGAGACGCCACAAAGAAGACGCGGACATGGTGCTATATCACATGCAAGTGCTCACTGTTGACTGTAGCAGCAATACTATAGATTTAAATCATGTTGTTTTAAAACAATTTGAATATTGTCCTCCCTGAAAATTTCACCTCTTCTTCTGCTGAAGATGCCGATTCTGGTGTTCTCTGGTACCTCATCAAGTGACATTGTTCACTTGTGAGCTTTGATGGTGAATGTTTTGCAGAATTTGCAACCGTGGGCATATCACAGCAAAGCCCTAAATTGGTTTCACCTGATTTCCAATAGAGGTCACTGGACAGAGATCAAATGAAGAATCCCTTGCCCCCTTCTTTTGTTGTCTATTGAGTAATTCCACACTGGGCAGCACTTTCAGCCCGAGCCATTGGAGGAACCTGTTTTACTGCTAATATTAAAAAGTCATTGCTTGCAAGTTGATTGTCCTTGTGGATTGTTACCTTTCCCTATCTGCACGCATTAATTTAGAACAATCCTAATTTTAAACCCTATAATAATAAGCACTTCACAAGAATTTTACTGCAAAGTGAGTCCACTGTGCATTTGTGCAAAAATAAATCCAATCCCCACGAAGTGTTTACCCGCATACGAGAGAAACAGATAGAATTTAATCATTCCTCTTTCATCTGAATATTCAAATGCAAAGGACGAGTCAGAAGTGACTGAAGTCTACATTGACATCATATATTATCAGCTATGAACCATAAAATACCAAACTCCTGCATTAATCTAGGAAGGCAACTGGTGAATTCTTAATTCCAATTCTGTCACACTGACTTATCTGTTCCATTAAATCGGATTCTTTTCTGTAAATTAATACAGTTGCTCCCAACTCACCAATTGGCACTGTCCTGGTATCAGAAATACTAAATCTAAATAGAATCCATGTATAGATTTAATCAGTCCATTGTAGGATTCTCCATAATTCTTAGCAGCAAACATGGGACACACAAATATCCAATGCGCGTATTGTATGAGAGATTGCTTGATTAAAATTTATCACAATCCCCAGCACTGCAACTTGCATCCAAAGATTTGCAGGCACTATCAAGGTACAAAACAAATTATGCACAACATAGAAGCCACGATTTGCATTGATGCAAATTAAAACTAATTTCCTTCAAATGGTCCCCTTCAGACAAATATACCCTGAACAACTGGAACTCTACGAATCCAACTTCCCAGAAATACTCTTTTTTGACAGGACATCTGTTGGACACAATTAGCAGTAGGGACATATGTACCTGGAAGGAATTCAAAGGGAGATTTCATACCTCAGTACGTTTCCAGGGTGCTATTGAGACTACCACAAAGGAGGTTCAATTCTACACGTCTTTTAGCATATCCCAAAGATCCAGCACCACTGACAAAAGTGCTGGTTGACATCAAAATGTTCATCAAATACCTCCTAGATTTCCCGCAGATACAAATATGCATACGCTTCTAGAATTGCACATAATACAGCCAAGACTATACATCCCACTGATAATGGGTAGCACGGCTGTGGAAGAACAATCCAAGAAAATCCTTAATTGGTGACACTGGAGATATTTTATGACTTCTGGTCCCCATTCCTAAGCTTCTATCAAAGGCTGCCAGCATATTGTACACACTCCACACATAGCTGTAACACCACAGGAGGACATGCTCAACCCCACCCCATCGTGATAAACCACACACCATAGCAGCGCAACATAGAAGCCACCAGACGTTAGTCTGGTTAGTAAACATCCGAGTTGAACTGAGCACTGCTTGCATCCTCACAAACGAGTCATCAGGTACATCAACAAGCTACAGGCCTTTGTAAACCTCACCGGTAAGACTATAACTTAAGTGCATTGGATTTTGTATTCTGACATTGTGAAAGGAAATTTCTGATGCCTTGTAACTAAACAATTAAAATAAAAAAATTGAAACTGATAGAAACAATGTCAGTGGAAATCAACAAAAAAGGACGGACGTAAATGATTTATGAAAGCTAACACCATTACTCAGATTCACTTTCGACAGACCAGAATGTATCTCATTATAGGCAAAGCATTTTCTCAGCATTATCTAGTGTTTCAAAAACTATTTTGTTTTAAACATGGACCAAAGTTCATGATTACTCAGTATGTGCTCTTAAAAAACAGTGGAATTCTATATTCATTCTTTATTTTGTTACAAACCATCCACATTTGTCAAAATGGTTGCACTGAAACTAGTATATCAAGTGTGCACAACAAAGCTAACCTCCTTCTCACCCCAAGATCTGACAATAACAATGAATTGACTTACTCGAGCTCTTAATAATGATTTGCAGCATGCCAAATGTCCCATAAGAGATATAGTCAGTATCTAGAAGCTGTGGGCTTCAACTATAAAAAGGTGCTTACTGCAGAAAAAACTTTTGATTCCAGTACCTAACTCTAAAGAAGTACATAAGCTTACATTTTCCTCCAGAAAAGAAGCTGCTTACAAAATACTACATTGTTCTTCATGTCATTTGCATGGAATTTTCAAAATTTGCGTAACATCGAACTCTTTGGAATAAAGGACAGCAGTTTTAAACTATCCAGTTACTCAGTCACAAGTGAGATAATGAGCATTTCTATCCTACTGTAAATCTAGGACATGGAAGGTAAAGACATCAAACCTTCATAACTCTACATTTTGCTAATGGGATAGGGAACCAGTCTGTGGGTTATTCATTCACATAGATTTTTTTTGCATTTCTCTGAGTCTTACGTTTCATTACAGCAGTAAAAAAGTGGGTAAAATTGACAGAGCAGCTTTTGAGATTAAATCAAACACGATGCACATGGCCCTGACAGGGTTAGCTCCTCAGATTAAAAAGATAAGTCTTCAAAACTGCACATGGACTAACACATGCAAAAATGTGAAGGTTTCAGAAAAAGACTCATTTAAGGAAAAAGAACACTATTTATTTACATTGTAAACCTTACCAATAATGACACGTTATGACTCAAAATGATTTTAATTTGAGAGTCTCTGTAAAACATTCAAGCCTGAGGTTAAATGCTGACAACCGCATGGAGGTGCTTAAACATGAATGGCAAGTCTCAAAAAGATCAAAAAAAAGAGAGGAGCAAAGTCAGCTGCCCTACTAATGACACTGAGAAGGGCAAGATTGTGAGAAGTGCATCTAACAGGATTTGGAAAAGAGGGCAAACTACTTCAAACTTACTGAATGTGTTAAAGTTGACTGGCGCAGATAAAGCAAAATCCCTAGAGTGATGTTTTAGACCAAAGACAACCAAATCCAATCTTGTGAAAGGAATCTTACCCTATAGTGTTACAATGCAAATGATTCACATTCTTTTTTTAAAAAAAATCCATTCATTGTCCCATGCCACACAGGCCAGGCATGTGAAACTTTTAAGGAGAGGGATGAAGTTCATTCATGACTGTTAATGATCTCCCCCACCCCCCAACCCTTTAACTATTTCAACACTGAACTGTTGTGGCTCTAAGATTTTTTTTGCAGAGATGTCAGTTTTACATACTGTACTTTTTCATGAAATTGGTTCTATGGATTTCTAACTAATCACATTTATAAAGTAACAGCATTCTCTTGTAAAATAATAAAATATGCTATTTTAATATCAACACGCTATAATTAATATAAAGCAATGAATACGATC